GGAGATAAATAGACGATGTATTTTGGATAAAATTCTTGAATAGGAAAATTATGTCTTCAGTCTTAAATTCGTGTCATGAAGGCACTTGGCACTTGAACTCAAGTGTTGCTTTGTTCAGGTACTCTGTCCCAGCTACATTACTCATGCATGCATTATCCTTTCTGTCTGGTTGCTATTTAGCTTTTTTTTTTTTTTTTTTTTTTATTTTTTTGACAGGCAGAGTGGACAGTGAGAGAGAGAGACAGAGAGAAAGGTCTTCCTTTGCCGTTGGTTCACCCTCCAATGGCCGCCGCGGCCGGCGCGCTGCGGCCGGCGCACCGCGCTGATCCGATGGCAGGAGCCAGGAGCCAGGTGCTTTTCCTGGTCTCCCATGGGGTGCAGGGCCCAAGCACCTGGGCCATCCTCCACTGCACTCCCTGGCCACAGCAGAGGGCTGGCCTGGAAGAGGGGCAACCGGGACAGAATCCGGCGCCCCGACCGGGACTAGAACCCGGTGTGCCGGCGCCGCTAGGCGGAGGATTAGCCTAGTGAGCCGCGGCGCCGGCTGCTATTTAGCTTTGTATCCATTTGAGCCTCAGACATAGATATGAAAATTGGATCCCAGAACTACAGTGCAGACTCTGAAGCTGCTCTGTGTGATCCACTGTAACTCACGAAGCTTTGAATGCTCTAATTTCTCCTATGTAAAGTGAAGAACTTATTCCAGATGGTTTGAATGTATGAATCCCCAACCCAAGACTCCATGATCCATCATCCAGCTTTCCAGGAAGTCTCCATGTCTTTGATTATTTATCTATGTATAATCTTCACAAAACAATAAAAGTGATAAGCACAAAGAAATTCCATAAATATGTATTGATTTTGTATTTTAAAAACTTTTAAAATCACTTACTTAAACAACTAAATTATATCATGACTAAAGCAATCTACTTGCCAGCATATTGTGCACTGGGACTGTGCACAGAGAATACCTGAAATAATCTCTTTTAAAATATGAGCCGGGGGTTGGCGCTGTGGCATAGACGGTAAAGCTGCCGCCCGCAGTGCCAGTGTCCCATATGGACGCCAGTTCAAGTCCCGGCTGCTCCTCTTGCGATCTAGCTCTCTGCTATGGCCTGGGAAGGCAGTAGAGGATAGCCCAAGTCCTTGGGCCTCTGCACCTACGTGGGAGACCTGGAGGAAGCTCCTGGCTCCTAGTTTCAGATCGGCGCAGCTCCAGCCATTGCGGCCATTTAGGGAGTGAACCAGCAGATGGAAGGCATCTCTCTCTCTCTCTCTCTCTCTCAGCCTCTCCTTCTCTCTGTGTGTAACTCTGACTTTCAAATAAATAAATAAATCTTTAAAAAAATGAGTCAACACGATTTTTGACTTACCTGAATTTTTTCAACTTTAGATACTTTTTTGTTTTCATGTTATTCCGTTGTAATTTATTATTTTCATGTGCTTAACATATTAATTTCAGTTTTTAATTTCCCATCTCATATAATAGATATATTTTATTACACACTGAAACTACAAGTTCAGGCTTGAAAGAGTCATTGCATATTTCTGCTCATTAGATTTCTGTTGTAAGCATTTAGTCCACTGAAGGGTAAGGCTTTTTCCCCAGAAGTAGTGATCCCAGGATCACAAATCTCTGATTCTCTCAAAATGTAATTGGTGAACTGGGATTGTAGTCCTTGTGGAGTTGACAGGATAAACAAGCCATTCCCTAAATCTAGGCCCTCTATCCCTATTGGGAGCCTTTGTTCTTCTCCATTCCCTCTTGGAACTACTCATTATTTTAGGCTTGGTGTGTGGTCACTCTGTGGGTGTCACTTCTCTGACCCCAGATATGCAACAATACAGAAGAAGCAGGCCATGCACCCTACTTCCTACATATTGGTAAGGGGCTATCTGTTTCTTTTTGCCCCAATTAGATTTTATATTTTATATTATTTTATATTTTTGCTATTATACCTGAGATTTATCATTGGAAGCACAGAAAAATATTGAACCAGAAAAAGACAATCCAAGAAGAAGCTGGCCTCTCCCACAACATCAGGTATTCTAAAAGATTCTAAAAGCTGTGGCTTGTGGGTTGCAAACATGAATCACAAAGTCTCATGTAGAAATGCCCATAGTTTTGCTAACTTTTAAATTTTTATTTATTTTTAAATGAAATGCAGAAGCAGACAGAGAGATCTCCCACTCACTGGTTCATTCCCCAAATGCCTCAACAGCTTGGGATGGGCCAAACTGAAGCCAGAAGCCTGGAATTCAATCTGAGTCTCCTCATATAGGTGGTAGGGAACAAAATATTGAACCTGCTGACTCCCAGCATGCATATTAGCAGGAAGTTGGAATTTGTAGCTGAGCTGGGACTCCACCCAAGCACTCTGATATGGGATGCCTGCATCCCAGGCAGAGTCTTAACCACTGCACCAAATGTCCACCCCCATTTTTATTCTCTTTTGTGAGTAACAGCAACGTAGTGGATGTGAATTTGTTGATTGATTACAGCCAAAAATCATAGCATAAATTAAACATATCCTTATACTTGACCTTTTCCTGTCCAGGTTGTTCCGTGTTTGGGATTATGTAGGTTTGTGAAGGAGTCAGGTGAAATTGCCTGTTCCAAGTCTCAGCCAGCTGCTCAGATGAGGTCAGATCATCAAACAGAATGGACAAAATGACTCCTCACTTTAAAGAGCAGCACCTGGCAAACACTGATAGCAGAAACTGACGGGATTCTTTCCCACTGATAAATTTTACTGGCTACTAGTGTCCTTTGTGAGGGAAGGAAACATAATTTTAAAACATTTCTGCTTGTACCTGCCACATTATACCATGAAGAAGGCTTTGAACTTCTTTTTCAGATGATTGCTGTAGGGAAATATTTTCTCTTTCAGTTTCACTGGTTCTTTTTGTCTAATTTTCATTATAGTATCTCCAAAACTGAATTCATTGCCTGGCTCATGGATTTTTCAACAATTACTTATTATGGTGACAATATTTAACATGAATTTAATATCTTACCTAAATTTCAAGTGCTGAGCCATAACTGTTAAGTGTACAAGGCTTTACAACAGGTCTCTTGGACTTACTCATCTTGCACAAGGACATATTATACTTGTTAGACAGCAGATCAAGTGAACAAGTATGTGATAATGGCACAAGATCTAGAAGTCAGGCAGAGAAAATGAATTTTGGCCTCAGAAAACCTGTTTCTCTTCTGAGTTCAGTCTTTATGTTTACCTCCCCTAGCCCACAGTGCTAATCTAGGGAGCTAACAGGCTGCAGCAAACAAAGAATCCCATAAACACACAAACATACTTTATGACTCATGCTGCAGAAAGGGCCATTGATCCACTCATGGATCACGATCACCACTCAGATGAGCTTTGCTTTCTCTCCAGATTGAGAAGTCAGGCTCAAGGGTCTAACAGCCTTTGAGCAGGGGGAAGGAAGATGCAGTGCCAGGAACTTGAGGAAGTAGAAAGATGATTGATAAGTACAGTTATTAAGACCTTGTCCTGAGAAAATGGCATGGGCCTGATACACAAAACATAAAATCAGGGACCAACATTGTAGCACAGCAGGTTAAAATGCTGCTTGCCATGCTGTCATCCCAGAGCACTGGTTTGAGTCCTGGCTGCTCTGATTCCAATTCAGGATCCCTGCTAATGCACCTGGGAAGCAGCAAAAAATGGTCCAAGTACTTGGATCCCTCCCATGTATTCAGAAAGTCACATACAATCTTGTATAAACCACATCTTAGCTCTTTTTTTTTTGAGTTTTGTAACTACTTCGGGAAAATAATAAATCTTCACCTTCCAGTCTCTTTTTTTCAGGCTAAGGAAAGATCGTGTGTGTGTGTGTGTGTGCGCGCACACGCAAGAGAGGGAGAGAAAAAGTGGGAGAGAGACAAGAAGAGAGATACTTTGGAGGGTGTGTGATAGGACGATTCTGATTCTCTTACAATGACAGGAGGGGATGAGAAGGATGGGCAGAATGACTGATAGCAGTTTACAGTGAACACGCAGCCAGAATTCCTTAGCAAAATAAAGGAGTTATTTTTAGTCACTTTAAAAAATAATAGATGATTAAATAATACGTATCTTTAAAATTGCTACCTGAATGTTTAATAAATCAGAGAAATGTTTCAATTGCCTGAAAATTAATTTATCTAAAGTTTAAATTTCTGAACAATCATGGGTGAATACATTATTACTCTTTTCAAGCAGACCTTGCATATATTTTAATATTGAAAGTTTTATTTGTATTTATTTATTTTATTTTTATTTATTTACATTCTTTGTTTTGAAAGACAGCATATATACCTCAAATACACAATATCTGTCAGTTACTCGGCATATGTCAAAATAAAATAGCTTCTAAAGTAATTTTCTCTCATCTCTTCTTTTATAATCTAATTTGAGAACTATTTCTATGCCAGTGTTTATTCCTGTATGTTTAAAGATGGTTCATGTTTCACTGGCTGATTTGTTAACTTTAAGTTCTATTTCACTGCCACATGCAAACAAGAAAGTAACAATTCAGTTGATTTTTTTTTTTTTTCTCATCAGATTCTCTCCTGGCCCTGGTTAACCTCCATTCTAGAGCTGTATGCTGACTACTGCCTCTTCCTGAACTGTTACCAATTCAAAGTTGTGTGTATTTCTGACTCTGGATGTCCTCATTGCTAAATCAGTCTGAATACCATAGGCTGATTCAGCTTTGCTCTCTGGCAACTGTATTTGGAATCATTCATTTATGTGCTAAGAAGGTGGCTACTTAGTGGTTTTCATTTTTCTATATTATCCTTGGAAGGATACTGCACCTGCACTTTTTTTTTTGCCACATGAGATTATTTTATTAAAAAACGCAAACGAAGCAGAGTGTGGAGCACTTTCTGTTCACCCCCAGGCTGCCTGCAGGACCCCCTCACACCTGGGTTACTTCGGACTCCAGCTGGGGCTCTGTCAGAAAGTGCAAGGTCTAGGCCATGAGCTGGGGAGGGAGCCTGGTGGCTTGGACCTGGGCACAGAGGGAGGAACAGGGTGGCTGGTACTTATATTGGAAGGTAGAACCATCACGATGCCTTGTTGGAGGAGCCCACACAGGACAGGACTCCTGGGTCCCCTTGGTGGATCTGCTCCTTGGAGAAGGCCGTTGGTTCTTGGTTCCATACTTTAATTTCAGAGTTAATAGAAGGAGGTGGCATCTCTTGCCTGCAGATACGTATTGAGGAAATTCTTCAGGTGCTATAATGTGGCACTGCAAACAGTTGGGGATTGCCAATGTTGAGCTCATGCCCTTATGTCCCTAGGATATTCATCCTTTTGTAAGCTCAAGCTGTGGAAGATGGAGGAAGCCAACAACAGCTCTGGAAATGGCTTTCTACTTCTGGGGTTTTCAGATCAGCCCCAGCTGGAAAGGTGCCTTTTCATCATCATTTTGCACTTTTACATCTTTAATATTCTGGGGAACACAGCCATCATATTGGTGTCTTGTGTGGATGCCAAACTCCACACACCAATGTACTTCTTCCTCAGCAACCTCTCCTGTGTGGACATCTGTTTCACCACAAGTGTTGCCCCACAGCTGCTGGTTACTATGAGTAAGAAAGACAAGAGCATGAGCTATGGAGGATGTGTGGCTCAGCTCTATGTGGCTATGGGGTTGGGTTCCTCTGAGTGCATTCTCCTGGCGGTCATGGCTTACGACCGCTATGTTGCAGTCTGCCGGCCACTGCACTACGCCACCATCATGCACCCCAAGCTCTGTGTTGCCTTGGCCAGCACAGCATGGCTCAGTGGACTGGTCACCTCTCTCATTCAGTGCTCCCTCACTGTGCAGCTGCCCCTCTGTGGTCATCGGAAACTGGACCACATTTTCTGTGAGGTGCCAGTGCTCATCAAACTGGCCTGTGTGGACACAACTTTCAATGAGGGAGAACTCTTTGTGGCCAGTGTAGTGTTTCTGATTGTCCCTGTGTCACTCATCTTAGTCTCCTATGGCTTCATAACCCAGGCTGTTCTGAGGATCAAATCAGCTGCAGGGCGCAAAAAGGCCTTCGGGACCTGCTCCTCTCACCTGATTGTTGTCATCATTTTCTATGGGACCATCATTTTCATGTACCTGCAACCAGCCAAAAGCAGCTCCAAAAACCAGGGAAAGTTTGTTTCTCTTTTCTACACCATAGTCACTCCACTTCTGAATCCTATTATCTATACTCTGAGAAACAAAGATGTGAAAGGAGCCTTGAGGGCAATGGTAATAGGACATGCTTTGGGGTCAGAAAGGTTATGAGCTGGATATCTGGCACTAGATGGTTTGTACTAAGTACTCCTCTGTTCAGAGCCACAGGTTAGTACAAAATCTGCAGTTCTGCAAGAAGCTGAGGTACTCAAGGGACAAAAATTCTATGCTCTCTACTGAAAACACTCAGCTCTTTCTCAGCTATGCCATCAAATTTCATATACCCATTTTTTCTACCTAGTTTGGCGATCCATCGGTAAATTTCTGTTTATTCATAAAGGCTCAGCTGAAATGTTATCTACAGTTTCCCACTTTTGTGAAACACCATTCTTCTCACTCTCTGGGAAAAACTGTTTCCTAATATATTTTGTATAGCATGTGATACATACTGCAGTTTCCATATGTTCACACATGTTAATATGTATATATTTGCCTATATATACAAATAGACTAAGCAATATGTACATATAATAGATAGGAAGTAATATATAACCATTTTCCCATTAATAAGGGGTACTATAAAAAACTCATGGAAAAAGGCAATTAGAAGCCAAGCTTATTTGGTGCAAAAAATATTTAGAAATCCATGCACTTTTTCATAATACACACTTTTCATGAACTTTTCAAGACCCCTCAGATGACATTTGAAACTGACACATGCCCCACTGCACTGGCTCATTTACAGCAGGAAAAACAAATGTACTTAGAATCATATTGGCACCTTGATTCCACAGAATTGTGGGATGCATATAATGATTATTATTTTATTAAAGGAATCAAATAGGCAAGTTTACATTAAACAATTCATGGACTTTTTAGATTTATTCTAATTTTTTTCTGAAGTTTTTTAGCACTTTGTAGATAAAAAGTCTACCAAAAAGTAATTTCTTCTGGTCCTAAGAAAGGAGAAAGTGTTTCTTAAGAAGACAGTATTACTTATACAGTTTCATGCTTTAAAATATGAAATATGAGATCCCACACAAGTTCACATTTGTGCTTACAGTCAAATATTTGGCTCCTAAAATTTAAAAAATGGGATATTCAGATACAAATTAATAAGAACTGTATTCTTATATATGGCTACCCTCTTAATTCCACAATACCTGATGCCCCCCCCAACCATCTTCATCTCCTTTATTCCAAAAACAGATTTGAACTTCATGAATATGGTAAGCCCAAGTATTTAAGTGAGTTCTACAATTACAGAAAAAAATTTTTCTATCATATTAATTTTACTCTACATTGTCATTATATACACAGCAGGGAAGAAAGAGCATGAAAGTATGAGTGCAAGGAAAGCAAAAATACAGACAGAGTGGAATCTGGTGAGGTGGCTTTAAACAAGTTAGAATTTTGATGGCAGAAAGGAAAGTGAGGTTCATCTAAAATTCATGTTTGCATCAAGATGTTATAGCTTGTTTACAAATGATAAAATTCAAGTTTGTACCCACTGCCAATGATAATCATAGGTAAAACGGTGCACATAAGAAACACAAAAAAGCCTCAGAGAGTTTACTGAATGATTCAGGGATTCTCCTCCAACCTTATGGTGTCCAATTTACCCCTTTAAACATTTGAAACAAATAAAACAATGGATAGTCTGTTATCCACTCTAACAGAAATGAGAGGGGTATGAACCTGGTTGAGCTTGTCTTGTAGAATATTATTATGTGCATTCTCCCATCAGCTTTGGAACGTGCTAAGGAAAGCATGCTTTCATTTCCAAGGGGAAATAACTTCTACATTTACATAAGGAAACTTCACATTTATAAATACATCAATTCCTTATAATCAGAAAAAACACACCATAGGAAAGAATGTGCCTAATTCAGAGTTGAAATCAATTTAAATGGTATATTGCATCTACAACACAAAATGAGACATTTTTAGAAAAATAAAGCTCAAAGTGAAAAGATGACCAGATATGAAGTAATGGTATCAACACAATATATAGAAATAACTATATAGAGAATATATAAAATATATACAGAAATAACAAAGAAAAAACAAAGATAATTTCACAGGCAAAATAAGGTAATAGGAAATGAAATGCCACTGAAAAAAATCAACTACCAAACACAAAAAGTTGCAAAAATAATTCAGAATAGAAGTTTAGATAGAATAAATAAGATAAAGTTGAAAATGTTAGCATTAAAGAGATAATAGATGTTTCTTCTGGAAAAAAAAATGAAAGTAATAGAGGATGGGCGGGGCCAGTGTTGTGACACAGAGAGTAAAAAGTGACCACCTCTGATGCCAGCATCACATAACTCCAATGCTCCACTTCCAATCCAGCTCCCTGCTAATGGCCTAGGAGAAGCAGTGCAAGATGGCCCAAGTGCTTCCATTTGTTTCCTTTTTGATAAATAATCACTTTGAGCAACTTTTGACTCCTGTGGTCTATGTTCAGATTATGTATGCATCAGATATTTTCTAAATACAGTCATTAAGCCTAAAGCAGGGACATGTAATCCAATTTACATCTATTACAGTGTTGTTTGGAGAAGACCTGTGCAATTATGACTCCAAGAAAGGGATAGTCCTGTATTACAATTGTTTTAAAACTACACAGTGAAAATAGTGAAATGTATATGCATGGTTCTGGCAACCCTCCAAACACTATGAAATCTTAAAAGGTGCATTTTTTTGAAGTTGGGGGAAACAAACAGAAAATGATGCCTGCTACGCACAAAATTCTGAACATTCATGGAAAACAGAAAGCATCAGATCTCAGAGACAAACCGAGGAAGCCACAGCCCACCCCTAGCCCAGACGGCGAGGAACGGAGATGGAAGCACTGCCGGCCTTGCCCCGGATAGACACTGGCCTCACACGTACCTGGGCTCGCTCATGGTGCTCAGAGGAGCAGAGGAGGATGACCCCTACCCCGTACCTGTCAGGACCAACCAGGCTCGGTCACCAGTGGAGGGGCTGAGGAGGAGGCCATGGTCAGTAGGCAGCAGAGGGGCAGAGGAGGGCGATTTCCGTCCGCTGTGTGAGGAGGAGGCCGTGGTCAGTCAGAGGCGGGGCCGAGGACGGCGACTTCCGTCCGCTGTGTGAGGAGGAGGCCGTGGTCAGTCAGAGGCGGGGCCGAGGACGGCGACTTCCGTCCGCTGTGTGAGGAGGAGGCCGTGGTCAGTCAGAGGCGGGGCGGAGGACGGCGACTTCCGTCCGCTGTGTGAGGAGGGGGCCGTGGTCAGTCAGAGGCGGAACCAACCAGGACGGCGACTTCCACCCACACTGTGAGAAGGAGGCCGTGGTCAGAGGCCGTGGTCAGTCAGAGGTGGAGGGGCCGAGGACGGCAACTTCCGTCCGCTGTGTGAGGAGGAGGCCGTGGTCAGTCAGAGGCGGGGTCAACAAGGACGGCGACTTCGGTTCCCTGTGTGAGGAGGCGGCCGTGGTCAGTCGTTGGGCGAGGAGCGGAGCAGCATGACCCCCGTCCTTGGTGCCCATGAGGAGGCAGTAGTTTCCAGTCAGCAGTTGTGTCTACGCAGGGGAAGGCGAGGACACTGAATCCAAAGAGGAGTCAGAAAAAGCATGGCCTTAGGGCTGTGCCGGTGACCCACAGCCATGCCGCCTGCCTCTCAGAGTCGGGTCCACACGTGGCGGTACAATGACGTTAAAGAATAAAAAACAAGAAGGAAAGGAGGGAAAAGAAACGAAAGAATAAATGATGCACAAGACTTCTAAACAAAGTCATGGTAAGAACTTCTAATTTTTTAAGATTTATTTATGTATTTGAAAGGCACAGTTACAGAGAGGCAGAGAGAGAATGAATGAATCTTATATCCACAGGTTCACTCCCCAAATAGTCGCAGAGGTGGGAGCTGGGCCAATCCGAAGCTCTTTCCTGGTCTCCAATGTGGGTGCAGGAACCCGAGCACTGGAGCCATGTTCCACTGCTTTCCAGGCCATAGCAGAGAGTTGGATCGTCAGTGGAGCAGTTGGGTCTCAAAGTGGCTCCATATGGGATGCGGGCACTGCAGGTGGTGGCTTAACCAGCGATGCCACAGCAACAGCCCCTAAGAGTTTTAAAAATAACAGGAAAGATAAAAAAAAAAAATAGACAACTTAATCACCTTTAGTGAAGTATGATTAGCAAATATATTTGTAGGTGTGTGGGTTATGGAGTATAATGTGTTGGTGTGTGTATACCTTCTAAATTGATTACCAAAATTGAACTAGAAAATGTATCATCTCACAGAGACTGAGTTCAGAAATGTTTTGTAAAAGGAGAAAGATTATGTTTCTGTGTGGGAGCAAACTGTTGAAATCTTTACTTAATGTATGCTAAACTGATGTTCTGTATATAAAGAGAATAGAAAATGAATCTTGATGTGAATGGAAGGGGAGAGGGAGTGGATAAGGGGAGGGTTGTGGGTTGGAAAAAAAAATCTCTCTTTCTCCCCCAAATTCTAATCCCTTGCTTTCAACTCGTCTCTTCCTACTGATATTTTACACACAGCAGACACCTCAGTCAATCCCAATATGCCATGTTCTCTCCTAACCTATTTCCTTTCTCTGAGATAATTCATTGAGCTGGAATAATGTGATTGCGCACCCATTCATTCATTCATTTTCTCTGTGTGTGTTTCTCTGCCTTTCACGTCGATGCAAATGAATAAATCATCACTGAATCATAAAAAAAAAAAAAGAAATGTTTTGGACTTTGGGGAAAAGAAGATGAAAGTGCATGTGCTTTAAAATGTTGATGGAAAATGTCTCCTGGACGTTTTGAATATCCCTCACTCTGTGTGTGTGTTTATTAACACAGGAAAAACACTCAAAGGTGTAGTGGCAATGGTGTGCCGGCTGACCATATTCCCCCCGCCCCCCCCCCCCCCCCCCCAAGGAGCAAACAGAACAGTTTGGGTGGTTTGTAGAGTCTGGCGATTTCTGTAGTGTAATACTACATCCATGACTAAATTCAAGCTCCCAAAGTGATGTCATCAACCCCGGAGCTGGGATGGGTTGCACACAGCCCTTCCCTTGCTTGTTCCCTCTGCCCTGCCCCCAACAGCAGTGCAAGCTTGCTCCAGTGCAGCACTGCATAGTTGAGGCACTGGGTCATACTTCAAGGAGGAGCAAACAAGGAGATGTAAATACTACAAAATGATAGAAAGCAGTTCCCCTGAGTTGAAGAGAGACAGCTGTCCTCAAATTCACGTGGACAGTCTACAATCTGGGCTGGGTGGCATAAATGCCTGAAGCCAGGGGAGAGCCCCAGAAGGAAGAATCTTTTGAGGTTTCAGCCTTCCCGTCCTTGTTTTTGTTCAGATTCTCATCTTCAAGCTGAAAATCGATAAAAGTAAAATAACATTACAGATGATGTGCTACATTGCTTAAAAAAAAAAAAAGCCCTTCTTCAGCACACTCTTCCATACACCTGAACTGTTTTTCTCATTTCATTGAATTGTCCACCCATGTTCTCTTGCACATCTCAGAGTTTCCTTGGGAACCTTGTTTTGCATTCCCCTTTCAGGCATTTTATAGAGTTCCTTCATGTTCTGTTTCTGGAGAACTATTGCTTCTCTTTGGAAGTAAATAGTTGTTGCTTTTTCATGCTTCTTGTAACCCCAGGTTGATGTCTGTGCATCTGGTATAATACTTCTTCCAATTGCATGGAGAAAGCTTGATAGGAAGAAACATTTTCTTTTAGATGAGGTGTCAGGAGCCTGTTGGGGAGGTGCATTGTCTTTGTAAAAGTCAGGTAGCCGCTCTGCGATTTCTTCAGCTGTTGTCAGCATTAGTGGTGTCTATCAGGTCTCCATAGTCTGGGCTGCACATGTCTGTGAAGGTGGTGGTGTGACTCTGAAGTGGGTTTGCAGATGCCCATGTTTTCAGGTCCTGCAGAGTTGAGCGTGTACACTGCGTGGGTCTTTTTTTTTTTTTTAAAAAAAAGATTATTTACTTGAAAGGCAAAACACAGAGAGAGGGACACACACACACAAACACACACACACACAGGGTGTATGATGGAGGGAGAGATCTTCCATCTGCTGGTTCATTCCTCAAATGGTTAAAACAACCAGGACTTGGCCAGGTTAATTCCATGGAAGAGGGACTCCATTCTGGTTTACCACATGAGTGGCAGAGGCCCAAACACTCTGCCTATCATCTACTGCCTTCTCAGCCACATTAGCAGCAAGCTGGATCAGGAACAACGCAGCTGGGACTCGAACCTGCACATGGATATGGGATGCCAGCATTGCAAGCAGTGGCTTAACTCACTGTGCTACAATGCCAACTGTAGCTCCTGGTCTCATTGCAGTGGCAGCCACTGTCCTGAAGCTGCAGGTTGGAGTGGAACCTGTCCTCAGGCAAGTGGTGCTGGGCTTTTTCAGGTGGCAACTGTTATGCCTGGGCTGCCTCCTGGCCCCTAGGTCAGTCTAGACTTTGCAGTGGCCTTGTCCTGGTGTTGGCCCTATGCTTTAGTAACCTATGTTCTGGGGAATGGGGGGAATCCTTGTGAGCTCCTTCTCTGAAGCAAATGAGTCATGAGTGCCCAATACTGGATTTAAAGTCTTTGAGGATGCGGAGATTCTCTTGTACTCAAGCGTGCCAGTCTGAAGTGATGGTGGCCGTGGCTGGGGCTTTCCTGTTTGCCTTTCCCTGGTATAGCAGAGTCCTCCTGGCTGGCTGGATCCAGGATCACAACTGAACTTGTGCCCTTCTTTCTCCTCCGTGTGTGGCCATCTCCAGTTCCTATGCTATCTACGGTAGCTGTGGCTCTGTGGTGGAGTTCAGAGTTCTCCCTTGGTCACTGTCCTGGAGGTCGGTCCTTCCCTCTCTTCCGCTTGCATGTTCATCACAGCGCTGCTCGTTTCAGCCAACAGGTGCAGATGCCATCCACTGAAATATCCATCAATGAATGAATACGAGACTGTGGCATACACACGATGGCATGATTATTCTGCTGCGAAAGAGGATGGAATACTCTAAATTTGCAATAAAATGGATGAATCCAGAAGATGCAATGTGCAGTAAAATTACCCAGGCATAGAAAGACATGTTTTCAGTCATGTGGAATTTTGAAAAACATTGATCTCATAGAAATTGTGACCAGAACACTGGTTATCAGGGGAGGATTTGAGGAAGAGTATAGAGAGAGGTTGTTCAGTAGTTAGAATATTACAGTCATATGGGAGAAACTCTGTAAAGTAAAACATAGGTAGAATAACTTTAGTCAGCAATAATGCATTGTAAATTTCAGTGCAGCTAGAAAGAAGATTTTGAATGCTCTCATCTCAAATAAATAAATAAATGCTTATGGTGGTGGATATGCCAATTATTAGATTTGATCATTATACAATATACCTCAATCATACATCCCATTGTACCCCACAAATATGTACAACTATTATTTGCAAGTCAAAGATTAAAAATGAGTGTGAATACAAAAATTATGTTAAAATAACTTAAAATGGATCACAGAAATAAATGTAAAACTTGAAACTGTTAGACTCCTAGAAGTAAACAGGAAAAGGTCTAGATGACCCCTAGATTTGGCAATGACTTTTAAAATCCAACAGTAAATACATTCCATGAAAGAAAAAATTGATAAATTGGATTTCATTAAAATCATTTTTTACTCTGAAAGACTTCACTAGACTAGAAGAAAATATTTGCAAGAGATTTAGTTTACACAGGAATATTTTACAAAATACAGAAGTACTCCTAAACTCAACAATAAGAAAACAACTGAATTTTACAAAATGGATGAAAAGCCTCGACATACATTTTACCATAAATATTATACAGAATGCAAATTAACACATGAAAAGATACTCAGCATAATAAGTAACCAGGGAGTAAAGATTAAAACAATGAGCTACTATTATACATATTTTAGAATAGCCAAACTTTGTAACATTGACAACATCAAATGCTGGTGAGAATCCAAAGCAACAGGAACTCTCATTTGTTGCTGCTGTGAATGCAAAATACTGCAACCATTTTGCAAGGCAGTTCGATAGTTTCAATGACATAATCTTACCATATGCTCCAATAATTATGCCCCTTAGTATTTATCTAAAGGATTTGAAATGCTACATCCACTCAGATACCTGATATGAATATTTCTGGGAGTCCTATTTTTTTTAAAGATTTATTTATTTTATTTGAAAGACAGGGTTACAGAAGAGGAGAGGCAGAGAGAGAGAGAGAGAGAGAGAGAGAATCTTCCATCCACTGGCTTACTCTCCAGATGGCTGCAATGGCCAGAGCTGTGCCGATCCAAAGCCAGGAGTCAGGAGCTTCTTTTGGGTCTCCCATGGATGTACAGGTGCCCAAGGACATGGGTCATCCTCTACTGCTTTCCCAGGCCATAGCAGAGAGATGGATTGGTAGTGGAGCAGCCAGGTCTTGAACTGGTGTCCATCTGGGATGCCGGCACTGCAGGCAGTGGCTTTACCTGGTAATGCCACAGAGCCTGCCCTGCAGTCTTATTTTAATTGTCAAAACTTGGACACAATCAGGTGGTTGTTCAGTTGGTGAATGGATAAATAAATTGTGGTGCATCTGGACAGTGAAAGGTTATTCAGTGCTAAAGAAATGAGCTGTTGGTGCTGGCGCTGTGGCATAGTGCTTGTTAGTTCCTGAAATGCTCTTAAAGTCCAGGACTAGGCCAGCTCAAAGTCAGGAACCAATAACTCAATACAGGCCTTGTAGATGGTTGGCAGGAACTCCACTACTTGAGCCATTTCTGCTGCCTCCAGTCTTCTCTAGTGGAAACTAAGTCCGCAGCCAGAGCTGGCAATTGAACCCAGACACTCTAATGCAGGTTGTGGTATCTTCACTGCTAGTGTAAATGTAAACTCCCAGTATTTTCAAAAGGCTATGATAACTACCTTACAGCATTATTGTCAGAATCAGCTACTCAGACTCTGAGAAAGCAGAGTTATGAGCTTGGAAGACTCAGGTATAATCTTGTATGTCATTTTTATACATGTTCTTTAAAAATTGTGTTAACTTATTCTATTTATTTGAAAGGGAGAGTAACAGAGAACAAGAGAGAAATAGAGGGAGAGCCAGAGAGAGAGGTCTTCCATCTGCTGGTTCACTCCCCAAATGACTGCATTGGCAGGGGATGGGCCAGGATGAAGCCAGCAGCTTCTTCTAGGTCTCCCATGAGGGTCAGGGTCCCTAGCACTTGGGTTACCCTCCACTGTTTCCTTGCGCATTAGCAGTGAACTGGATAGGAAGTGGAGTAGCCAAGACTAGAAACTGCCATGGTGTCAGTTTAACCCACTATACCACGGCACCGGTCACTATATATGTTCTTGAGTACTTTACTCTTATTTCTGCAAACCCCACCTTTCTTCACTGTGTCGTATGTGGCAGAGATTTTTTGGTTAAGATCAAATGACTGAGAAACGGCATGTGTCCATTACCCTCACAGACTGGGCCAGAACTACTCTCATGGCCCTGCTTGACCAGGGCATGAGTGAGCATTCAAACTCTTTCATGTGAGAAGGGACTCTCAGGCAGCTGTTAAAGGGCAGAGATGGGGCACTGTGTCACTATATGGAGGCCAGTTCCCTCAGAAAAGCTGCTGTGAGAATTTGAGTGAGCAGGAGATAAATCCTTGTGGTTTCTAAGTCATGGAGAAGTTGGGATCGCCTTTTCTGCAGGTTAATCCTAGCCTATGCTAAATGAACAGTTCCCCCTAAAGTCTTTTCTGGTGGTTCATATCCCCACTGGACTTGGAATGAGAAAAATGAAGTTCTCTTCTTTGCTCCACCTCTTATTCAACTGAATCTACCTTCTCATGGGTTCAAATAAGATCTCATATGTGAAGCAGCTTTGCAAACCAACAGGTCCTGTAGTGATGGAAGGGAGTGAATAGTTTGAATGGTAGAATCACTTGATATGTACAACAATCATGATATTCATATTTTGGGAAATGTTGCTATTTACAAAAACAGTTTTCCTTATAAATAAATCAAATGTATGAAAGTGCATTACAATATCATTCGGGGATTGATTTTTTCATATATTATTTTATTTATTTGAAGGGCAGAGAGAGGATAGAAAGACATACAGACACACAGTCTGGGATCTTCCATCCACACCCCAGTTGCCCACAACAGCTGGGTCAGGGCCAGGTCAAAGCCAGGAGCCCAGAACTCCATCTGAATTTCCTATGTGGGTAGCAAGAACCCAACTGTTTGAGTCATCATCTCCTGCCTTTCAGGGCTGCAGGAACCTAGAATCGGGAATGGAGCTGGGACTTAACCCAGACACTCCATATGGGATGCAGCCTGGCCCATCCGTAGCTGTTAAGAAGAAAGCAAAGGATGGGAGATCCATGTCTGTGGGTCTCTGTCTCTATTTCTCAGGCTTTCAAATTAAAATAAATAAATAAATAAAAAATATAGGTGTTGGAGCCGGCACTGTGGCACAGTTGGTTGAAGCCCCAGCCCGCAGCACCAGCATCCCATATGGATGCTAGTTCGAGTCCAGGCTGCTCCACTTTCAATCCAGCTCTCTTTTATGTGCTGGGAAAGCAGTAGAAGATGGCCCAAGTCCTTGGGCCCCTGCACCCACATGGGAGACACGGAAGGAGCTCCTGGCCCCTGGCTTCACATCAGCTCAGTTCTGGCCACTGCAGTCATTTGGGGAGTGAACCAGTAGATGGAAGGCTTCTTTCCCTCTCTCTGGCTCTACCTCTATCTGTAACTCTGTCTTTCAAATAAATAAAAATAAATCTTAAAAAAAGGTGTTAAACTACAACAATTATTAATACAGAGACTTTAAAAAATGTGTGGTAGTTACTCAATTTATGTTTTTAACATATGTGATTCTTATAATGTCCCTAATGAACATCTTAAAAATGGAGGCTTAGAGAGTAAAATAGAAAACAATTTTCCAAATCCTCAAAACTGCGGAGGGACAGCTGGGGTTTGAATGTAGAAATGGCTACTAGACATCATACTGTTAATCTCAGTGTTGTAGTGGCCCATGATATATGGCAGTTGTTCATACCCTGCCTTTCTGATGAATATATTTATGTATCTTAAAGTTTTCATAGGAATGATTTCCATCCATTCCTCTGACTTTCTCTCAGAGCTGAACACAGCAGTGTGTATGTGTGTGTCATCAACAAAGAGAATGGGGTTGCTTAAAATAGAGGACAATGTCTCTGAGGTCTGCACAGATGCCCCCAATATTTCAAATGACAAATATGTATTTACGTTCTCTAGTTTTTCTAGTTCATTAGCTTAATAACCATTTACACATATTCACTGGTAACACCACCTCTAGCTGTTCAGTCCTTGTGTCCATTATCAAATTTTAATTGGCTCCATTTCACCTGTGCTCTGGAGATAGTTTCCTGTCTGAAATCTCCGTTGGGCAGCCTGCTGTTACTGCATGGGAAGGACTGTTTTCCCAAGGGCTTTGCTGGAGGTGCACAGGAAATCACAGCTGCCCCACTTATAAAAGGTGAGTGTCCTTGATTCTTCTGAAAGCATTCTCAAATGCTGTAAGCATGGACAATCTGGGGAGCTGGCTTTGAGTCCTTGACTAGAAGTTAACAAGAGAAACCTTAATTCGCATCTCTAAGACAATCACAGACAATACCTAAGGGTGAGAACACTGTGATTCCTGTTGACAGTGTCCTTCTTTGATAGTTCCCTCTCATTCACACTTGATTTCCTGGAGATTTTTTTTTTGTTTCACTTTGCAATATTGTTTTCTCTTTAGAAATAGAAATGGAATTCCAGTTAAAAGTACAGTTGGAGAGGGTCAGTGCAGAAACCCAACTTATGGTTTCATGTGAAACAATTAGTAATTTCCTTAAAGGAACAGAAATCTTGCTACTTATTTTATAGTAGTTGCTGTCATTTCAGATGTCCACAATGATATTAGAGAATGTGACAGATTCATGTCCGACATATGGAACCTACCTATAGCTTATCATTTTATCTTTATGCCATCTTCACTGATTCAAAATTTTTGAACCTTTGTTTACCATTTGCTTACAAGACGTTCAGAGACTATGTGTACAGGAGTTCCAGAAAAGACTGAAGATATCAATAGTAAAACAACAACATGCAAGTAGTTGATATATGTGTGTATATATATATATATGTATAAATGCATGTATGTGTGTGTACACATATATAAAGTTTTTTAAAGATATTACTTTGGACACGATTTTATGGGATTGCATTCGTTTTTGCCAGTAGTTATATATGGACTTTATTCCTAGCTGAATCTTCAAGGCTTGTTTTCATATCTTTTTGATATTTTTTTGTTATAGTCAAAATACATGTTTGAAAATCATTGAATGCATACAGTGCTCATTCCAAAAAAGAGATATGTGATGAAGGCTAAATGATCACTTAGCTAAAAATGAGAATACAAATTTTATATTTTTAAAACTTGTTCCTTTGAATTCTGTCACTATATTTGACCATCACCAGAAAACTAATGCTAAAAGCCTTTAAGTTGGTTTTGTTGCAAAATCAAAATAAAGGGATTCATAGTGCCTTTGTTTGCTTATTTCAACTTAAGAGATCCTGATAGTTTCATCCCTAATGGGATATTGGTTTTTTTATTTATATTTAATTTATTTAATGAACATAAATTTCCAAAGTACAGCTTATGGATTACAATAGCTTCCCCCCCCCATAACTTCCCTCCCACCCACAACACTCCCCTCTCCCACTCCCTCTCCCCTTCCAATCACATCAAGATTAATTTTCAATTATCTGTATATACAGAAGATCAATTTAGCAAATATTAAGTAAATATTTCAACAGTTTGCACCCACACAGAAACACAAAGTGTAAAATACTATTTGAGTACTATAGCATTAATTAAACACCTAAGAGTAACTGTGTATTAATTACAGAGTTCAACCAATAGTTTTAAGTAGAACATAAAAAATACTAAAATGGTAAAGTATTAAGTTCTTTTTTTTTCTTTTTCTTTTTTTTGTTTGTTATATAGTTTTTTTTTATTTAATAAATGTGAATTTACAAACTGCAACTTTTGTATTGTTGTGGCTCCCCCCCAACCTCCCTCCCTCCTGTGGCCCTCCCCTCTCCCACTCCCTCTCCTATCCCGCCCTTCATCGAGTTTCACCTAATGGGGTATTAAGAGCAGATGTGTACTCTAATTCTTAAAATCAGCTCAAGTACACAAGAACCCAAATGTTCTAATTACATTTAAAATAAACTATGGATCTTATTATAAACATAAATAGATCATATTGTCTAGGCTGGACACACATTAGAATTTACAGCTTTCTGTCCTATGTTTAGATGTTTAATCTATTTCACGTTGAGTGTGTGTGCGTGTAAGGGTTCAATCTCATTCTTCTATGTGTGCATACTGAGTTTTCCCAACATCATTAATTGATGATATGTCCTTCCACCAGTGTGTGCTCTCAGCACCTTTGTGGAAGATCAGTTAGCCACATAGATGTGGATTTATTTCTGGACACACTATTTATTCTGTTGGTCCAGATGCTTGTTTTTTAAGACAGTATCATATTTTTATGACTGTGGCTTCATCACTCAAAAAATTTTATTAGGGAAATATAGTGCTTCCAGTTTAATTCTTCTTGCTGAAAATTTCTGTCAAGATTTTTTGGGTTCCATATTAACTCTAGGTTTTATTTCTATTTGTATAAAAAATGTTGGGTTAATATTTTTAGGGACTGCCTTGTGTGTAGCTTTTTAAACTGGTCATTGTAACAAATTATTACTTGCTTCTATAAACAAGGGATGCCTTTCCCTATATTTGTGTGTTTTTATTCACTTATTGGTATTTACACTTATCAGTGCAGAACTACTTCAGCTGGTTAAGTTTATTTTTAGTGATTTATTATGTTTGATGCTTTTGGAAAAGTGGTTGTTTTCCTGACTTCCTTTTTGAACATTTTGTTGTTCATATACAGAAATGCAATATATATGTGTATATATATATATATAAATTTTGTATCTCACAGTTTTTCTGAGTTCGTTTTTCTCAAAGCAGTTTTTTTGTGTCTGTTAAGTCTTCAGAGTTTTCCACATTTGCTCATATAACTTTATTTTTTCCTTTCCACTTTGACACCTTTCATTTGTTTCTCATGTCTAATTGCTCTGGAATGGACTTCTAGTATTACTTTGAATAAAAGTGGTGAGAATATGTATCCTTGCCAAATTTTAGAGAGAAGTTTTCATTTTTTCATTATTGAGTATGATGTTAGTTGTGAGCTTTTCTTAAATGATCTTTATTGTGGGGGACAAAGATTCTTCTATACATAATTTGTTAACAAAATTTTATTATGAAAAGTTAAATTTTATGAAATGTGTTTCAGCATTTATTCAGGTTATTGTGTGACTTTTATCCTTCAATCTGATAATGTTGTGAATCACACCGATTGGCTTGCTTATGTTGAAACTTCCTTTCAAGCCAGGGGCTTTTGTATGAATGTCTCTCAAGGATATTCATCTGTGTTTTGTTTTGTTGTGCTGCCTTTGTCTGGCTTTGACACTGCATGATGCTGGTGTCATTAAAGTGAGTTTCAAAGTATTCCCTCTTTTATGTTCTTTGGAAGAGTCTTTAAAAGACTGGCATTAATTCTTCCTTCAATGTTTATTGGAATTTATCCACGAGACCATCTGATCTTAGGATTTTCTTTGTGGGGATGTTTATATTTTCAAATTCAATCTCATTATTTGTTCTTGGTCTGTTCTGGTTTCCTATTTTTTCTTGATTCAGTGTAGGTAGATGGTACATTTCTAGAAATGTTTCACTTCTTCTGATTATCCAATTTGTTGGCACATAATTGTTCATATAGCCTCTTACGATCCTTTAATCTTTGTGGCATCCATTGTAAAACCTCCTCTTCTTTTCAGATTTTATTTATGCACATTTTCTCTTGTCTTCTTAGTTTTTCTTTAGGAGGGTTTGTGGATTTGTTTACATGTATGTTTAATAGCCTGCTTTTTGCTATTGTTTTTCCATTCTCAAGTTCACTTTTCCTCTGCAGATTCCAGACTTACCAGCTGCAGGCAAATTCCTTAAACTACTGTTCTCCACATATATGGATATATTGACTTGTATATTACAAACACCATGAGCATATTTATAGTACATAGATGCATATGTATTCACACTTATAAGTAAATACCTATATGTGATGATAAGTACACCCACACTCAAGGCAGGACACAGCCATAAACACAGCGTTCCCTGGAGAGTCCTGACTTACGCACATGTTTTCCTCAGAGGAACATGCCAGTAGTAACCAGTTCACCCTTTATTAAAACAGTGAAAATTATGGGTTGGTTGTTAGTGTGGAAACTGAGTAGCAGGGCTGGGCCTCACTCCTATATAATCGGATTGGAGTACCCCATCCTTTTTAGCACCTTTAAATGATTACTTCAGAGTGGTAAGAATGTAGGCAGATTTAAAAGGTGAAAAAATGGACTTGTTAGTTGTATTACATAGGTTAGGTACATTAAATAGAAGTAAACATTATCAAGGAAAGTGTTTAGGTCACTTTGTTGATTAGCTGATAATTATTATTTAGCTATGGTTCCCATCTTTTGTGACCTTTTTTTTTTTTTTTTTTTTTTTTTCCAGATCAACCAGGCTTTCCAGAAAATGGCCAATTCCACTGTGGTGACTGTGTTTCTCCTTGAGGGCTTTGCTGACACACGAGAGATTCAGATCCTGCTCACCATGTTATTCCTACTAACATACTTGGGCACCCTGCTGGGGAACCTGCTCATTGTCACCGTCACCACTGTGGACTGGAGCCTTCACACCCCCATGTACTTCTTCCTCAGGAACCTCTCCATCTTGGACATGTGTTACATTTCTGTCACTGTCCCCAATGCCTGTGTCAACTCCCTCACTGACAACAGGGCCATTTCAGTGGCTGGGTGTGCAACTCAGATATTCTTGGTCATCTACTGTGCATATGTGGAGGTGCTGTTTCTCACCACCATGGCCTGGGACCGCTATGTGGCCATCTGCCAGCCTCTTCACTACTCCACTACCGTGAATGACCGATTCTGTGTACAGATGACCCTGGCTTCCCTACTCAGTGGCCTCATCTATGCAGGACGTGCACACTGGCTACACGTTCCAGCTGCCCTTCTGTGAGTCCCACGTGGTCCGTCAGTTCTTCTGTGACATCCCCTCTCTGCTCAGCCTCTCCTGCTCTGACACCTTCAGCAGTGAGCTCTTACTCTTGCTCTCTGTCGTGCTGGTTGTTGGTGGCTGCTTCATCTTCATCACCATGTCATATGTTCGTATATTCTCCACCGTGCTCAAGTTTCCAGCCCGAGAGCAAGGAAAGGCCTCTTCCACCTGTGTCCCACACATCCTTGTGGTGTTTGTCTTCCTGAGCTCTGGCGCCTGTGTATATCTGAGGCCCTCTGTGACCTCTGAAATGGTTCAGGGCACAATTCTTTCTGTATTCTACACTGTTGTTCCTCCATTCTTGAATCCTGTCATCTACAGTCTTAGAAACCAACAGATAAAGGGAGCTATAAGGAAAAGAATACTACGGAAGTTTTATTTTAGAAAATTATAGGGATCTACTTTAGATTTATACTGGGAAGTCACTGAGATTCAAACTTATATGTATCTATATCTATGTCTCTCTATGGGAGTTTGGTGGATCAGTTAAGCTGCCATTTGGGATGCCCACATCCCACGTTGGAGTGTCTAGGTTCAAGTCCTAGCTCTGCTTCAATTCCAGTTTCTGATAATTGTCTGTCCGTTTCTGTGTCTCTGCCTTTCAAATAAATAAACACTCCTGGTCTGGTTTCTGTGTGCTGTATTGCCCACACCCAGTTATTCCACTGAAACCAGAGTGATCATTCTTGTAATTATGAGTGTATTGCCTAACCTTTCCATTGCTCTTCCAGGAATTATAGCATTTTGTAGCATTTGCACATGTTAATGGATGGATATGAAACAATATATTGATTCCAAGTAATTTTGGAATAGGTACACCTATGATTCATCAAATATTTAGTAATTTTTATAATTTCTCAAAAGAAAACTTAATAAAGGAATGACTTCTCAGGCATAAAATCTGGTTTATTCAATATAGTGTAACTTTAAAAATAACATGATACTCAGTCAAAGTAATTTAAGTGTTTAAATCCAAAAGAATTGAAACCTAAAATATAATTTAAAGTAATACTGTAATCTGTTGTGAAAAATCATACATGATTTTCAAAATTTTTCAGCCCAAAATAAACTTTATCTTTCAGTTCCCTGTTTTCATGAACATTTTGAAGCCCTCTCGTGAATCCCAAGTCCATGGTTACCATCTTACTCAAATGTGAAAAGTCGAAGCTTTTCCTCTCATATCAGGAACAAGTTGAGGATGCCCCTTTTGCCACTGCTATTCAACATGGCAGCAACAGACCCAGGTAGAGCAATTAGATAAGAGAAATAAATAAGAGACATTAAATAATCTCTGTTGGGAAACAATATAATTTTTTGTAAAGATTTATTTTTTATTTATTTGAAAGAGTTGCACAGAGAGAGAAGAGGCAGAGAGAGACAGAGAGAGACAGAGAGAGAGAGAGGTCTTCCATCCGATGGTTCACTCCCCAGTTGGCCGCAGTGGCCAGAGATGCACTGATCCGAAGCCAGGAGCCAGGAGCCTCCCCTCGGTCTCCTACATGGCTACAGGGGCCGAAGGACTTGTGCCATCTTCTACTTCTTTCCCAGGCCATAGCAGAGAGCTGGATAGGAAGCAGAGCATCTGGGACTCAAACCAGCACCCATATGGGATGCAGGTGCTTCAGGCCAGGGCATTAAACTGCTGCGCTACAGTGCTGGCCCCACAATATAATTTTATATATAGAAATTCCTGAAGATTCTGCCAAAATGTTAATTTTATAAATGAATTCAGTAATATTGCAGGACACAAAATCAGCATACAAATATCACTAGTTTTTCTACACATTAGCACTATATTATCCAAAAAAGAAATCAAACATTATCTTATAATAGCTTCAAAATTATAATATTGGAAATAACTTTAACCAAGGTGATGGATGAATCTATAAGCTAAAAACTGTAAGAACTCAAGCAATTCAACAGTAAGTATTTAATTCATTCAAATGGACCAATGATCTGAGTATACACTTCCCAAAAAAGACATGTCAATAATTAATAGATGCATGGAAACAAAATCTGTCAACATCATTAGTCATCAAGGAAATGCATATCAGAACCACAGTCATTCCAATTAGACAGATGAATGTGTTCTGGGACTGTATGTGCAACATGGTAACAGCAGTTATCAGTGTACCAAATACTTGAAAGCTGATAATAGAGATCTTCAAGTTCTGTCCCCCCATAACAAGTACATGAGTTAATGGATATTTTAAGTATCCTGATGTAATAATCTGTAGTGGGTCGATGTGTCAAAGCATCAAATTGTACAGTGTAAATATATACAGCTCATATTTGTTAACTACACTGAAGTTTTGAGTGTAAGTAAATAAATTTAAAACAAATACATTGTAGTTTTACATTTTTGCCTATTTGAAAACGAAGTGAGATATTAAAAGACAATATTTAGAAAATATTGATCAATGAATTATCAAAGCATAATTATAAATTATTAGAAATGAAATTGTGCACATAACCTTGGATTCTTTTACATTGGAAATTCAGAATAAAATGGATGATTTTCTGTTAATTTAGCAATTTTCCAAATTGGAATCAGCAGCTTTTTCATCATTTGTCATCATGTATTTAGGCTCGTTACGTCTTTTATCATAAACCTTCTACAGCAAAGACCAGAAGTCCTACTATGGCAGAGGGTGTATCTTCCAAAATTGCCGCCACAGTGCTGTTTTTATCTCCTTATTTCTGAAACTGTATATGATGGGATTCAGAACAGGAGGCAGAACTGTGTATGCCAGAGCAATTCCCAGGTCTTGAAAGGATGAAGATTTGGCAACTGGCCCTAAGGCAGCAAAGAGCCCGGTGCTGAGGAAGAGCACGGTGACAGCCAGCTGTGGGGAGCAAGTGGAGAAGGCTTTTGCTCGACCCTCTCCTGAAGGGATTCTGAGCACCGTGGAGAAGATGTGGAAGTAAGAGGTGATCATGAGACCAAAGCAGCCCATCACCAAGCACGAGCTGAGAGCTAGTGCAACAAACTCTGCAAAGAAAACCTCACAGGACACCAGGGCCAGCACGTGGGGGATGTCACAGAAGAACTGGTGGATGCTGTTGGATCTGGAAATAGGCTCCTGAAACATGTTTCCAGTGTGCACTGCTGCATAGGAAAAGCAGCTGAGCCAGGCAGTCGCTGCCATCTGGCAGCATTTCCCTGCCGTCATCACAGCTCCATACTGGAGGGGGCGGCAAATGGCAAGGTAGCGGTCATAGGACATGACAGTGAGAAAGGCCAGCTCAGCAGAGGCAAAGGCAAAGAAAAAATAGACTTGAGCCATGCAGCCAAGATAAGAGATGGAGCTGCTATGCGTCAGGGAGCTGTGGACAGACTTGGGCACGGTGACTGAGATGTAGCACAAATCCAGAAAGGAGAGGTTCTTCAGGAAGAAGTACATGGGCGTGTGCAGATAGTGATCCAGCGTGATGACTGTCACAATGAGTAGGTTCCCCACCAGTGCTGCCAGATAAAGCAGCAGAAACAGCCCCGCGTGCAGAATCTGTAGGGCCCAGACTTCAGAAAAGCCCATGAGCAGGAATTCTGCCACATCCGTGAGATTGTCCATCTGGCAGGGGGACTCGTGTTCTGATTGTTGAGAAGAAAGCATGACCATTTTAAATGAGACAAAGAAAAACCAAGTCAACAAATCAAATCTGTTGGGCATCTTCCATACTCCTAAAGCAAGTGGGATGTTGGCAGATTGTTTTATAAGCTTTGTAAGGTTTAGAGAGCTAAAGACTAAGAATCGAGTAACTAATCTTTAAAAGCTGTCATTTAGTGTCAGTGATCTGCTATGCAGTGCTTTTCAAACACAAGCTAAGAAATTCCTCCATCCAATCAACTAGGATGTTTGTATAAAAAAAAGTAGGTTCTCGGGTTCCATTGCCAATAAACCAAATAAGAATTTGTGGGAGATACTCAATAATCTGCCTTTTGTACAAGTTTCTGAGTGATGTTTTAGTGCAAAAGGTGTAGTTGTAGCTGTAACTACACATCCTGGGCAGTCGGTGAGCTCTAGGTGTTTGTTGAATAACCTCAGCAGCATGTCGCTTTGCAATGAGATTTATGATTCAAGGCAAGGAAAGAATACCAAATGTGACCTTAAGCCATATTGCTAATAGTTCTGTTTTGGAGAGAGTCAAATGGATTTTGTGTCCATGCACTAGACACAACAATAGTAATAGTTATGATGCCATAACTCTTGTGTAGAACCTTCTCCATGCCAGATGCTACTATCTGTACTGTGCATACATTAAACTCAAGTAATATTCACAATGGCACAAGGAATTGAGATTATTATTCTCATTCAGCAGGAGAAACAGAGGCATAGCAGAAACAATGAACTTGGGGCAAAGGTCAGTTGCAGCAGTCAAGGAACTACTTGGGGCACCTCCATCCCATATTAGAGTGTCTGGGTTTGAGTCTCAGCTCATCTGCCAATTCCACCTTCCTGCAGTGTGCACCCTGGGGGGTAACATGTGATGGCTCAAGTACATGGGTCCCCTGATTGAGACCTGGGCTCCTGGCTTCAACTTGCTTCATTTTGGGCCGTGTCAGGTATTTGGGGAGTGAACCAGCAGATAGCAGATCAATAACCAATTAAAATGTATGTCCAACCTTAGTAGGTAGGGAAATCAAAATCAAAACTTTAAAGCATGCTGTTTTGTACTCACTGTTTTATATAATAAAAAAGTTTATGGAAAACCTAATTTAAAAAGTATGACTTTACCTTAGTGTAAAGACACCTGTGTTCCACATCAGAGAACCTGGGTTCAATTCCTGGTTCCCACTCCTGGCTCCACCTTCCTGGAAATGCAGGCCTTGGAAGGTGGCAGTGTTAGCTCAGGCTATTGGGTTCCTGATACCCCTTGGGAAACCCAGATTGAGTTCCCAGCTCTAGCATTGCACCTGGACCAGTTCAGGCCCTGGTGGTCATTTGTTTAGTGAGTCAGCAGAGAGAAGCACTTGCTCTCTCTCTCTCTCTCATTTTAATGATTCAAAAAAAGAAATAATTTTTTTTGGTGGCAACCGCGGCAGGACACAAACCTGCAATCTTCTGATATGAAAGAAAGAAATAATTTTTTTAAGATTTTATTTTTTGAGAAGTAGAGTTACAGACAGTGAGAGGGCGAGACAGAGAAAGGTCTTCCTTTTGTTGGTTCACTCCCTAAATGGCCACAATGGTTGGAGCTGCACCAATCTGAAGCCAGGAGCCAGGTACTTATTCCTGGTCTTCCACATGGGTGCAGGGGCCCAAGGACTTCCACTGCCTTTCCAGGCCATAGCAGAGAGATGGATGGGAAGAAGAGCAGCCAGGACTAGAACCAGCACCCACATGGGATGCCGGCACCATAGGCAGAGGATTAAACTACTGTGCCACAGCCCCAGCCCCAGAAAGAAATAATTTTTTAAGGGAGAATTTGTTTTGATGTAAGAAAATTTTTCATTATACACGTTTTGTGGCTCCTTTAATAAATATATACTCAAGTGTAAAGGTTACCAAATTGAGGGCTGTGTGCTGCCCTCATGAGGAGAAGGGATCCAAAGCCCTGTTTTATATAAGAACAGGTCCCTGTACAGCAGCCATGCTGAGTGTGGCAGCACCACATACACCAGTACAGAAAATTCCATACAGCATGTTCTCCGTCATGTGAGTTTCAACATTCAGAACACGAGATATTAGTTATGGATGCACACAGATAAGAGATGGTATAGGGAATGCATGGTCCCAATTAGTGAACGCGGGACAGAGGAGGGAAACCATGAGAAACAGGTGGAAAACTGAACATTAACTATTCTGTAATATCTCAACATTTACAATATTAAATCAAGCACAAAAAGATGAATAAATGGTTAATTAATTAACAATAATTTTTACTCATCCCACATTTGTGGCATTTCACATTTTAATATTATGCATATTAGTATCAAGAAGCAGTTGGAATACTGTTGTGTGTCATAAACCGGATGTCATTTTAACTCACTTATAAAATTTAGTGAAAATAAATAAGACTTTTTTTGGCTTCATGAATCTATGTAACACCTCACCAATTAAAATGATAAATTCAGAAAACATGATTAAGCATGACAGAGGTTGTTGATGCAAGATTTGCTTCATCATTCTTACTACTTTCTTCATGTTTTTCTACCCAGTGTATTGTTTGACAATGTGTAATAGTAAAAACAGCATTTTTGTCCTGCCATTTACTTATTAATAGAATTTAGTGAAACAAGTAGTACTATGCACGTTGTTACTAATTTGGTTTTGGTTTGTCCTCAGAGTCCTAACCAAACAATCCAGACTTGTAGCCCTAGCCCCCCCTCCCTCACCAACATTAGGGTAGGTGGTCACACAGCTTCCAGACTCAGTCAGCAACAGGGCCCCACACCCTGGTTAGCTTGGGGCAGTTCTCATGCTTAGTCACCTAGAGAATGGAAATCATGCCACTGCTTCAACTCCATCACCTCCTGCTTCCAGAAGGGAAAACTACCCCATAATTTTATGTAGTTTCTATATAGTTACTGTTATTTATTGAAATTATCATGCAATCAATAACTTCTTGGAAGTGTGTGCTGTTTAGAATTGAGAATATGCAGGATTGGTTTTTAGAGAAACAAGTAGAAATATTTTATATATAGTATACATTCATACAACACATCTATGGAAAATACTGGGAAAAATCATTGATAATATTCATTAACAAATACTTGATAGTCAACCATATATTAAAAAGGCATAGTACCTTTCAGCACACATACATACATACATCACTGTCAGATTTAATGTAAACTTTGTATTACTTCTAACTGCAAAGTGCATGGAATTACACATTTATCAACATTTCCTGCATCCCAGTCTCTTTGAGGAACAAATAAGTGACTGTGGAATTCTTTTCATGTCAGGAGCAAAAATGAGTGGTAGCATATATAATCACGTCCACTTAGTTGGGATAAATGTACCTCAGTCACTCTGCTGCAAACAGTGTCAGGGTAGAGGAAGCCGGGAATGCACACGTGAAGACATGCATGGTGTGGGCTGGGGGATGGGGAGGGCACCCGGCTCAGCTCTACACCTGCTTCAACATGCAGGTAACACAGATGCACTGACAGGGAGCCCCCTGTTCTAACCTGCTCCCAAGTCCTTACTTCCTCTCTGAAAGGGACCCCAGCACAGACTCGGGCTGAAAAGCAGCCTCAACAGCAGCCCTGGACTCTTCGACTCACCTGGGGTCATTTCCCTCCCCTGGCTCCACTGTCTACAATTTGACTACCTAAGAATATCCAGACTCCACGTTCACCTGCCCTATGGGCTCTTTCACTCCAAGAGCTGTAAATCAAGACCACGCAGCTGGTGGAGCACACCAGCATCTGACGAATGCTGGGACTGATGGAGACCTGCATTCTAGCTGTGTTAGCTTACAGGGAGCTGATTTAAATGGGGATGCTACAAATAAATTTCACTTTCAGTGGCCCCCAAAAGTAAAAGGCACTGACCGGATGACCTCTGCTGCCATGCCAGCACTGAGGGCATTTATGTCAACTGCACTTGAGCCTCCTTGCACACTCGTGTCACTGTTGTTCTGATCCTCAAGAATCACCCATCACTGCCAGTTTCAAGGGCTGTGGGCATGGGCCTGCCCCACAAGCTGTGTGCTGAACAGTCCCAAGCTGGCCATAGAGGCCCCAACACTGATTACAATGATAAAAATCAAAGTGAACTGAATGTACCACACTATTCTGTTGCTTGCTTCATTGAACAAGTGTGGAACATGACTAAGAGAACAATCAAATTGCTCTAATCAAACATCAGGCATGATGTTTTCATTGCTAGAAGTTTGAAATGATCACTTGCACAAGCCTTGTGCAGTTACATGCAGTTCCCCTACTGCATGAAACTCTGAGAAACAGAAGAACAGAAATACCTTTCTGAAAGAACATGCGGCTCTTGACGTATGAGTACTTTCTGCAGTGGTGGGGTCAAAGGGGTGATTCTGGTATCTTCCTCCGTTCACCATGAGACGAAACGACTGCGTTTAATAAGCAAGCTCAGAGGTGGAAGCTACCTGTTGCACACTACGTCAAGGAGAGAATCTTCTCTGTGAGCTTCCCAGGGAGTGGGTCCCCAGAGTCTGGAGTGGATCACCCCAGAGAGAAGCCTGGGGCATTGGCCTCAGAGGGAGGCAGACCTTCACCTTGTCAAGTGGTAATTGGATGTGATAATTGAGCTGAAAGTATGGGGCAGCACAGAGAGAGAGAGAGAGAGGCAGAAATTTTCATCAAAGAAAGATTTCTCTTCATTTGACTGAATAGAGGCTTAATCAATTTTATTATCTTTTCAAAGACAGATTTTTGTTACATTGATTTTTCGTTCTGTTTTTCAATTTTCAAGTTCAATGGGTTTTTATTATGTCTTTTCTTCTGCTTACTTGGAATTCAATTGACTCTCCTTTCTCTCATTTCCTAATGTTGAAATGTACACTATTGATTTTAGATCTTAGTAATTTTCTAGTATGTGTGTTCAATGTTGTAAACTTTCCTCTTAGTTTCACCTGTGCCACACTACAACTCTGATGAGTTTTGTCTTCATTTTCATGTCTATAAATAGACAGATATAGATATAGATATAATGTATGATCTCATCAGATTTCTTTGTTGAATCACATGGAATTTTGAAGCTTGTAGTATTTGGGAATTGTCTAATTTTGTTGCCGGAGAAGCAAAGGGTCCTTGTCTTCGCACAAAAAAGAATTCAGCTGTGAGACAGAGAGTAGTGGAAAGCAAAATAGCAAGGTTTATTAGGGTAGGGACATCTGTAAGTTGTCCTGGAGGTAAGATATCTGTAAGAGGTGCCTGGATGGGCACCTCTCCAGACAGACCCTGAGAGAGAGTGCTCAGTTCACATTTAGGCTGGGGTTTTTAAGGGGGTGGGTCTTGCCTTCCTTCCCCATCTCCTTCTTTTACTCCCGGACCCAAGGACTTGTTGGGTGTAAATATGAAAAATTCCTTTCTGAGTTCTTCCCACTGAAGTTATCAGACAGGGGAAGCCTGGCTGGCCTCGCCCCTTCTTAGAGGAAGGATGTTTATCAGGCCAGGGTGAAGGGGCAGGACCCCTGGAAGGTCATCAGGATCTGGGCAGGACTTTTGAA